TCAACCACGCCTGTGCTCACACGCACCAGGAGCCACTAGGCTGACCCTGGCTTGGGCCTGGTCCTCCCTAGGTTTCCTTGGGATTCAGTCATTGGAGAGCATGCTCACATCTGGGCCAACTGGACACCTCCAAGCCCAGGCAGGGAATCAAGCAGCTCTCTGGCAGCACCTGAGCTGCACAGGCTCCCACTTCCCCCATTCCCTCTGCCAACCCGGCACCCCCAGCCAAGGCTGTCTGCTGTTTTAGATTCCCGCTGCCTAGGGCTGGTGTCACCAGGAGTCTCACATTCCTTTCTCTGCGATAGCTGCAAAGGACCCAGCAGCCACAGCACTTCAAGGGGGCCGCACCCTCCCCCACCTCCCCACCAGGGTCCCCATCTTCCCTTTTGTCTCCCAAAGCCTGTAAGCTTTGTCCCCACAGATGCCAAGCAGCAGACACCCCTGGCTCCTTCAGGGACATTTATTTCCCGGTCAGAAAAGCAGGAACAGGCACCTCTGCCTGAGCCCAGCAGACAACACGAAGACTGGGGGCGGGCGGGGGAGGCACAGGAGACACTCTCAGCTCTGTGTGCACTTGGTCCCTTGTTTGTTCCTGGCTGGGTCAGGGAGGGCCTGCCGGGGGTGGTGGCACCGAGCCTGGGGGAACAGGCAGGCTAGTGGCCCAGGGATGGCACGGACGGAGACAATAAATACTGATGGCCAGGCAGGGATCCTGGCTGGGCCCAGGCGGGGTGGGTGAGGCTGTCCGTCCAGGGCTCTCCTGGGGGTGGGCTCTGGGCGCTGCCCGCCGAGACAGAAAAGGCAGAGGCAGGACAACACCCAGCCTCCTGGATGGTACTGAGGTGACCGAGTTTTGGCAATTTGGCTTTCCCTAAGCCGCTGGAGCCATCCCCACAGCCCTGGCCAGGGGAGGGGCAGGTAGGCCAGGCACTGGTAGGCTGGAGGGCAGCAGCAGTACCCCACACCTCCCTGGATCACTGGGTTCGCCACCGGGTATGGGACGGGGAGACCACATGCTCATGCAGACACAGGGAGTTAGAGGTTAGTGAGGCCCCCACGGCACGTTCCACATGTTAAGGCATCATGGTTAGACAGGACTGACAGCAACAGGGCGGGGGGGGGGGGGGGGGGGCTGGCCAAGGAGCGGCGGGGCTGGAGGGTGGCCTGGTCCTCACCAGGCCCTGCATCCCACGTCCCAGCTCCGCCGTGGGGCAGCAGACAAACACGTCCTGGGCAGCCACGGTGCTTAGAGATTGGAAGCACCCGTGAGCCCTTTGGGCTGCTCCACTCCCTCCTGAGGCCAGGCCTCAGGTGTGACAGGGAGATAGGACCTGGGGGGCAAGGAAAGGGCAGCAGAGGCCTGGCCAGGGCCTCTCTCCCCCACAGCACAGGCAGAAGCAGCAACGAAACACGAGACCACCGAGGAGGCTGGGCCTGTGGGCAGGGGAGGGCTGAGGGGGTCGGAGGCACTCGGCTGCGCCAGGCCAGGAAGGCGGACCAGGGTGGGAGTGGCATGGGAGGGCCTGTCAGCACTTTGGTATGGGGAGGGGAGGGGCTGGGGGACACATCCGCCTGTCCGTCGTCCGTCCGTCCATCTGTCTGCCCTGTCTGCCTCCGGCCGGGACTCAGTCCTTCCACTCCTTTTTGATGGTGAGATTCCACTCCCAGGACAGGTGGTCAGTCTTGTCGTCGTCTGTGAAGCGGGACTTGATGCTGTAGCTGCCCCGGGCCAGCATGCCCTTGGGCGCCTCCTCCACGGGGGTCAGGAACTCATACTCCTCAGCCCGGGGCCCATAGCTGCCCACCATGTAGTCGGTCTTGTCAACTGGAGCAAAGAAAGAGGGCAGTCAGTGGCCCCGCTCCCTCACCCAGCAGTGCACCCAAGAGGCCCCCACCTGCCCTGCCCAGGACCCCACTCACTCTTGACGCCTTTCCTGTACGTGTGCTGGATGTACTTCATGCCGGACACGATCTCTCTGTTCACCTGCAGGACCCAAAGCAAAGATCAAGGAAGACTGGCTAAGGCCACCCCTCCATTCCCGAGCCACAGCAGCCTGTGCCTTACCCGGAAAGAGATTTTTATCCGGTACTCCACGCCCTCCTTCAGCACAAAGGACTGCTTCTTGAAGCTCTCCAGGTCACCTGTTGGGGGGACCACTCCCTCAGTGACTGCCCAACAGCCCTGGGGTCCCCTTGGCTGCACTTCCCGCACTCCCCACCAGGGGCCACCCGAACTCCTGAGGCCGCAGGGCACTCACCTGTCAGGTCCAGCTCCAGGGGTCCCGGGGCCGAGCTGCACACCAGGGTCAGGCCAGTCACGACGACGTTGGGGACGTTAGGGTCTAGGGAGTGACAGCAGGTGAGGGCCCCATCCCCGCCAATGGAAGCAGGGGCCGGGGAGCAGCAAGAGAGTTGGGGTGTGCTGGAGGCCACCCAGCTAGCGCAGCCCAGACTCACCTGCAGAAACAGCCACGCGGCCCAGCAAGGCCTCCTTGTACTTTCGCAGGCTCTCGTCATCCTTGTCCAGCTCCTGGATCTCCTGGATGCTCTTCTGGGCAGGGGGCTTGTAGTTCACTGAGTGCTCATCCTCCTCATTCTCTGCTGCAATCTGGGCCAGCTGCTCAGCTGTGGGCTCCTGCTCAGCCATGCTCACTCTTAACCTGGGTGGGGACACCTAGGGGCGGGACGGTGGCAGGCCTTGGACCTGGGTCCCCATGGGAGGTGCACTTTCAAAGCAGGAAGGGAGGCTGCAGCCAGAGCTTTAAAAGGGCTCTCATGGGGCCACCCTTGCTCCTCCCCACCCCAGGTATAACATCTATGACAAAATGGGAACTACAGCCCGTCCTGGGGAGAGAGCACACCTCCCCCTTCACGAAGGAGGCGGCGGCAGTCCCCTGCATACAAGGGGCAGGACTAGCTGGCCCCAAACCCAACTGGCAGCGCCCACACTAAAACCTCTGTAGGGTCTTCCTGCTCCTGAGCTGCCCAGGCCCTCGCCCTACTGGGTGACGGAGCTGGGTATCCCTCAGAAGGGATGCTCCCCAGGCCGTGCTAGTCACGTGCAAACCTGTGTGTTGTGTTCAGCCTCATCCATCAAGCCCCTGGAGCTCGGAAGTTGGGGGCAGCCAGCACCCCGCAGGAGGCCAACGGGGCATGGGGATATTAAGTATCTCCAATTTCTCTCCAATTGTGGGGGTCTGTGACCTACAACTTGGGAGCTACAACAGCGGTTCAGTGCTCTCGGACCCTCTTGCAGACTGTGGGCCAGGAGCGCCCTGGGCAGCACTGACCCGACAGGGGCCCGAGCGCGGGTCTGTCCCTCAGGCTCAGATCCCTCCCGGCGGCGTGGGAGATGGGTCAGGGAGCAGCCCACCCAGGACGCCCAGGCCGGGGTCCAGGCCGCCTTGCTTCCGCCAGGCGCTGCGGCCTCTGCGCCGCGCGAGGGTGGCCGCAGGCGCCGGGATCCTAGGGCGCGGCCCGCACTTCCGCAGGGCCCGCAATCCGCGCCGGGCGTGGCCCGGGCGCTAGGGGAGGCCGCGCCCCAATCCCCGCGCCGCCCTGGGGCGCGATGGCCGCGCCTGCCTTCCTGGCGCCCCCAGTCCCAAGGGAGGAACCCTCAGGCCCTGCCCGGGCCCCAAGCTCCTTGGCGGCCATGAAAGAAGCCCCTGGCCGCTCGGGCGGGGCCCGCTCCGCCCTGGGCCCGCCGCCCCTCCGGCCAGGGCCCCGCACGTGGGACCCAGGCCGCCGCTGCACTGTCCCGCCCTGGCCCGCGCCGCCCGCCGCAAGCCGCCCGCTGTCACGGCGCCCCCGCCCGCCGAGACCCCGCCGTGGACTCAGGGCGGGGCGCGGACAAAGGCGGAAGCCCCCACCCCCGCGCCCCGCGCCCCCCGCCCCGCCGCCCCCGCCGGTCCCCGCCCCGGCCCGCCGCCTCCGCCACGCCACGGCCACTCACCGGAGGGTTCCGCGGCGCGGCTCTGGCTCCCTCCCGCACTAAATGACGAACCTCGTAGGCCGCCGCGCGCGCCCTCCCTCCCTGTCTGTCACTTCCGGGGTCACGCGACTTCCGCTCGCCCGGGCGGGCAAGGCCAGGGCGCATGCGCGGCGCGCGGGAGGCCGGGGTCGCGCAATCGCCATCTTGCGGCTGGACCTCGTGGGCGCGTTCCGCGTGGGTTGTGGCGTCGTCACTTTCCACCCCAAGCCCTGTCAGTGGTAATCTCTGTAAGCCAGGGCGCCTCCCCACGCCAGCCCAAGGTGCCCGCGCCCAGGACGCCGCGGTCCAGCCTGCGCCCACTCGAGGTCCGCGGCGAGCGCGTGCGCTGTGGAACCCGCGCAGGTGCAGTGCGCCGCACTCCCCCGCCCGGTCGGTCCGGCCGCGCCTCTTGTTTTGGGGTCTTGTTACCTAGTCCCGGGACTTCGGGGACGTAAGGGGCACGGGGATGAAGTTTACTTAGACACAGGCGAGAGCCGCTCCTGGGCTCTCGAGGCCCCAGCGCCTTGGTGTCCCCGTGGAAGAACAGCGCTGTGGGGCGTGGAGGAGCGCCTCGCACGCCCCCGCCCCGCGGAGAGCTCGTGCTGGGCGAGTGGGCGCAGCCGGGCTTTTCCTCCAGGCTGTCAATTCGTGCGCAGCACGCGTGGCGGCCTGGCGTAGGCACCGCCGCGGAGGCCCTTTGTCCCTGAGGAATCCCGCGGCGCCTCAGGACCAGGACGCGGGGGGCCCCCGGCACCGTGAGGAGCCGAGGCTTCACCCCAGACGCCCAGCTCTCCATTCCACTTGTCCCGAGATGTCACAGGTTCGCCCCCCAAGGGCCGTGTTGAAGCCTCAGGAGCAGTCGCATAACATGAGTGGCCTGGCGCGGCTGCAGTGCTTGGCCCCAGCCCTGGACCCTCCTGTCCTGGAGGCCAAGTCCCTGAAGGCCCTGCACCAGACACCGGGTGGGACGCAGCCCCGACCTCCAGCCCGCAGCACTTGTTAGGACTGTGGTGAGGTTAACGTGGACTCCTTTTTCTGAGACCACATCTCACTCTGTTGCGCAGGCTGTAGTGCGATGGTGCAGCCTCGGCTCGCTGCATCCTCCGTCTCTTAGGTTCAAGCTATTCTCCTACCTCAGCCTCCTGAGGAGCTGGGATTACAGGATCGAGTTATCATACCTAGCTTATTTATTTATTTATTTATTTTTAAATTTTTTTTAAGATAGGGTTTCACCATGATAGCCAGGCTGGTCTTGAACTCCTGACCTCAGGTGATCTACCCACCTCGGCCTCCCAAAGTGCTAGGATTACAGGGCCACCTCGCCCGGCCCTATTTTTTTTTTTTTTTTTTTCTCCTTATTTTTTTGCGGCGAATCACTCTGTCCCCCAGGCTGGAGTGTAATGGCGCAATCTTAGCTCACTGCAGCATTTCTCCTGCCTCAGCCTCCCGAGTAGCTGGATTACAGGTGCCTGCCATCACGCCGGGCTAATTTTTTGTATTTTTGGTTTTTTCTTTCTTTTTTTTTTTTTTTTGAGACGGAGTTTCGCTCTTGTTGCCCAGGCTGGAGTGCAATGGTGCGATCTCGGCTCACCGCAACCTCCGCCTCCTGGGTTCAGGCAATTCTCCTGCCTCAGCCTCCTGAGTAGCTGGGACTACAGGCACGCGCCACCATGCCCAGCTAATTTTTTGTAGTTTTAGTAGAGACGGGGTTTCACCATGTTGACCAGGATGGTCTCGATCTCTTGACCTCGTGATCCACCAGCCTCGGCCTCCCAAAGTGCTGGGATTACAGGCTTGAGCCACCGCGCCCGGCCTGGAAATTGTTTTTTAAAGGATCCCTGTCATCAGAAGCTGCCCCAAAATTAAATGGTTCATACAGAAAAGACAAATTTTTTTTCTTTTTTGAGACGGAGTCTTGCTCCGCCGCCCAGCTGGAGTATAGTAGCACGAACTCGGCTCACCGCAACCTCCACTTCCAGGGTTCAAACGACTCTCCTGCCTCAGCCTCCTCAGTAGCTGGGATTACAAGCATGCAC